TTCCATATTTCAGAAGGAGAACCATATAGACATGATCACATGATCAAGCGAGGGTTAAGCTCAACTCAAGAGAGACTTATTTGTAAGTAAAACTGTCCCCTCTCTGCAATGTTGTGTATCAGGAAAGACTTTCAAAGCAATTTACTACCCAAAATAATCACATTCAACAACACTGATCTTCAGTGATACGCCCAATCTAGTCCCTAATTGCTCCCATTTTTCTATTATGATAAATGGTGAATGGTATCAGTGGTGGGTTTCACTTACTGATTCGCTCGCGCATGCACACTTGCTTCACTCGCGCATGCGCACTTGCTTCGCTTACTTGCGCGCCTCTTCAGAGGGTATTTGATGACATTGGGCGGGTGGGTGGAGCCTCCCGCCGCCGCTACTACTGGTTTGCCTGAACCAGGGCGAACTGGTAGCAACCCACCACTGAATGGAATTCCACCATCTATCAAACAGTATATAGTTTGGTATATAGCCATGATGGCGAACCTATGGCACGCATGCCAGAGGTGACACACAGAGCCCGCTCTGCTGACATGTGCGCCGTCACCCCAGGTCAGATCTCTGTGGCATTTCTTTCGTGAGCTTCTGTTTCCCTGCAAACGAAGAAACAGAAGCTCCGCGCTGCTGGTGTTGGGATGCCCTGCCTCCCACCTGCCAATTGATCTTTGGGTCTCTGCTGCACATGCCCACATTGGCGCATGCACGCATGCATGTTGGTGCATGTGTGTATTCGCATGCATGCGCACACACCTTTTAGTTTGGGCATGCGCGTGCATGCAGTTTCGGTACTCAGTGTCTAAAGGGTTCGCCATCACTGGTATATAGACTTACAATTCATTTAGTGACCATTTGAAGTTACAATGGCACTGAAAAAAGTGACTTATGGCTATTTTTCACACTTATGACAGTTGCAGCATCCTTATAGCCATGCGAACAAAATTCAAATGCTTGGCAGTTTACTCATATTATGAAGGTTGCAGTGGCCTGGGGTCATATGATCACCTTTTGTTGCAAGCATAGTCAATGGGGAAGGCAGATTCACTTAACAATTATGTTACCATACTAGCTTAAACATTGCAGTGATTCAACAACTGTGGCAAGAAAGGTTGTTAAAGTGGGACAATATTCACTTAACAAATGTTTCGCTTAGCAACAGAGGTTTGGGGCTCAATTGTAGTCATAGGTCGAGAACTACCTGCATTTCTTTTCAGGTTACTTGAAACTAAGATTTAGTTCCTAAATGTAAGATAGCGGTAAAAATTACTACTATAAACTAGTGGCAAAGGATGTAATAGGAACTTGCTTTTATTTCCATAATTGTATATTTTTCTACTAAGTAAGTAGTACTATTTATTGTACCTTTCCTTTTCTTTAACCATCACACAGAATAATTTCTAAAAAACAATTTTGGTATAGAACATGGTTTTTGTACATCAGAAAAACCCCAGGAACTTCTGCAAGGGGTAATGAAGGAGTAAAACTGAAGGGATAAAAAGCCAAAATAGTGTTGTAATTGTGCAGCTGAAGAGCTATCACTTTGTGTATGTTTATTAATTCATAAACAAAAGGGATGGAGTTTCAGTCATGCAGTTGTGATTACCATTCAAACTTTTTTGATCTCTCCATGAATGCCTTCGGAAAGCATCATGGAGATAAAATCTTTCTATTCCCCCCCACCCACCCCGCTTTTCCATAGATTTTTTTAATTTTTACTAGTTCTAATTCAGATGTCAGAAAATAGTATCTGAACTAGTCCAATCACCAGAAGTTAAAAATGTACACACACATACACCGAATTCTTCAACATAATTTTTTGCTAACAAATATCTTCTTCAGCTTTCTCTAAGTAGCCTAGTTGTTTAGTCAGAATACCCACTTTATTTTTTTTAATGTCCTAAATGTATATAAATATATTGAGGAAATTCTGCTGTAAGCAGTTTAGGACAAATCAGCATTTCCACTGGATACTAAGTTTACTGAACTACTTCCTTTCTTGCACCATGAAAATCTGACCCTTTTCTATATGCTACATAGTTTAGCACAAAAATGTTTTTGTACACAAAAACTTTGTTACTTCTTGTTTTGGTCAAGATTATTCTTGATGACAGCAAAAAGTTTTGGCTCCACAAGCAACTACTATGTGTCAGGAAGTATTTAGCAACTTGCATAAAAATATGCCATATTCACTACCAATATAATTCTTTGAGAAAAGTCTGTGAAGAAGCCAAATACAGGTTGTGTTTTTTCTCAACTTGTCCCTTTACAGTTTTAATAACATGGCGATGCTTAGTCTTAGACTGCTCTTTTAAGACAGGAGCTTAATTTCACACACTTTGCTAAAAAGCACTGCACATCAAAACAACTAGACACAAGAACAGTTTTTTCCCCGAACACCATCACTCTGCTAAACAAATAATTCCCTCAACACCGTCAAACTACTCACTAAGTCTGCATTACTATTACTACTAATCTTCTCATCGTTCCTATCACCCATCTCCTCCCACTTATGACTGCATGACTGTAACTTTGTTGCTTGTATCCTTACGATTTATATTGATTGTTTCTTAGTATAATTTGATTGCTTATTTGTACCCTATGTCCAATCATACCTGGTCAATAAATAATTCTGTTCTGTTCTGTTCTGTTCTGTTCTGTTCTGTTCTGTTCTGTTCTATTCTATTCTAAATCATTATTAGTTATAATATTAGCTTCTCATAGTTTAGAGGAAAAACAACAATGACCCTTAGTTTACCACTCACAATGGAGGCCAAAAACAAACAAGGCATATTTTCTTAAATGCCGTATATAAACTTATTACATATCAAAAAATTCCTCTGAGTAAAAAAAAAAAAAATCACATAATGAGCAATCATATATAGCCATCTACCAAACTTGTAACAATAGGCCATCTTTCTACTTTTAATTAAGTTGACCTGTTTTTGCAAAACTCACTGACATTGAATTTTCTAATTTTTACTAATTTAAAGATATGAGCAAACAGAGTTAATACATTAATCATCTACCTTATTTTTTTTTTAGTATTGGTTAAATAATACAAGAGAAAACCCTGTAAAATGCCAGCAAGTTATATTATATAGTCCAATTTTTCTTTTACAATAAAATTCAAATAGCTATAACATGTGTTGAAGAACGTTTTGTCTCAAAATTACACAACAAAATGCAAGAAAACAAAAAAGTAAATTAAAAAAAAATATTCAGCAGGGTCACCTACTACTAAAAGCTTTTTTTTCCTTAAGCATATTTCTAAACAGCAAAATGTTAACTAGTGTTAACTAGCAATAAAAGATGTTTTCTGAATAAAAACTCATTCTGGAAAACTATTGCTATAACTAAGCATACTACTTTAGTTCATTATCTGAACAGAACCTCAAGGTTATGGTTTTAAAAGCCAAAAATTAGAATCTTCAATTTAACTGAGCTTTGGATCAATAAGCTTTGTCTGTCAGAGTTATTTGGGTCCAAATTTAGTCCATGATGCTGACTCAAGAGTCATGTTTGCTAGTTCAAAATACTTTATACATTTATCCTTATTAATATTTTAAATTATAAAATATGTAATTATGCTTTAGCCGATCTTTCTGCATCTAGTTATAGTGAAGATTTTAAAATGCTCCATGGAAATTCTTAGTATTGATCCAGCTAGAAAATCACAGGTTTGCTGCAGAAATTGCACAGATTTGTCTCTCTGATGGACACACTCACACACCAACTTTCGTGCAATAACCAAGCTTTAATTGCTTTTGCTTTTCTAATATATTTTATTTTAATGCCATAGAATATATTAGATGTTCTTTGCATCTACCCAAAATGTAACCTGTATTTATTTGAGAGTAAGATTTATTGAACTTACTGTTACCTTTTGGGTGCTGTAATACACAAACTACTCCTAAGCATGTATTAGAACTGCAGGGTTTAAATACAGTTGGTTTTCCTGCACTACAGCCGTTCTACCGGCTGATGTCATTTTTACCTTCTTCCCTTTTTGGCATTCCCCTTGGCCTTTTAAAGCTTTACTATTGTTTCTGTAACATACGCTTTAGCTGCATGCATTTCAAAGCTGTGTGTGCCCACATCCCGGCTATTTTTTTTATCATTCTCTCCAATGGTCATTCCAATCTTGCCCTCTTCCATCAGCCAGCCTTTTTAATTCCATTAAAATTGTTAATTCTGGACACCCATTTTGGTCTAATCATAGCAATCATCCGTCGGATAAATTATCTGATCAGGCACAACAGACTTTGTTAAAAGGGTTGATTTTTTTAAAATACTGTAAACAACAGCCATCTTTATTTGCACTACACGAGTTAACTGTCTGAGTTGGGGAACAAAACAGGCGAATGCCAACCTTGCAGGACTGTTAAGCCAGCCTGTCATTCCATCCTCTTTCCTTGTTTAAATTCGACTGACCATGCGTTTTAGAAATATAAAAATTAAAAATGGGAACACCTTGCCCCCGCCTTGCAGAACATCATTTCTTCTCAAAATAAGATAAATACTGAATATGAAGCCTATTGTTATACAACCTGACTCGCACAGAAATCCCTTCTCCGGACCTAGACATTTTAGCTGAATGAAAAGCAGCGGAGGATACAACTGCCCCCGACCACCAGGACAGGCTCAAGCAGCTCTGCCCTTCTGTTACAAAAGAGGGGTGGAAACGGCTCCTAAATCTTCCGCGCAGCAAAGACACTCTAGGTATGCTCAGACGCCTCCTGCTCTTTGCACGCTCTCCTCCCCTTTTCTAACCCTGACTGCAACTTGGAGCTGACTTAACCCTGCCTTCAACTTCCAAGCGGCTGCCCGAGGAAGGACCCCGCTGTCATCAATCAGGAAGGTTCCCCCCATACCCTACCCCAATAACCTGCCGCACTGACCCACCCAGCCCCCGAGCCCCTCACCCGCCTCCCACAACCGAGCCAGGCGGAGCCTCTGACGGCGGGGACGCTTTTCTCGCGACGGCGACGCACCTTCAGGCTTACCCGGGCGGCCGCGTGGCCCTTGCCCGACCCGGCCAGCTCCTCCGCCTCGTCGGCGTCGTCGTCCTCCTCGACGTCCACCACCACGTCCTCCTCTTCGTCCTCCTCCTCGAGGGCGGCCGCCGAGCCCTCTCGCCGAGGCGGCCTCCAGGAGTTTTCGGTCTTGGCTGTGCCGCGGCCGCCCGATTCCGGGAAAGGCTGCGCGGCCGAGGGCGGCCCCGCCGTGTTCAAGCGCCGGTTGCCCAGACTGGAGCGTTTGGCCAGACGCCGCGCTTGCATGGCCGCGCCCAGCACCGCTCAGCGCGCCGCACCGAGGAGGAGTGGGCTCGGTTCGGCTCGGCTGGGCGGTGGGCAAGGCTGAGCGAGGGGGCGGGAGCGGCGGCGGCGGCGGCGGCGGCTATTGCCGCTACAGCCAAGGCACTCGCGGCAAGGCAGCAGAGGTGGTGCAGCCGCCGCCGCCGCTTACAGCGGATGCGCTGGGCTGGGCAGGAAGGCCGGGCGCGCCGTTGCAGCCATCGGGCGCTTTGGCCCCGCGGGGACTTAGGGACCTTGCTGGGATAGCTCCCCTCTGCAGGTCAGCGCCGCTTCCCAGATGTTGGCGAAAGGGCGGGCGAGCTGGGTGGACGGACAGAGCGGGGTCTTTTGCTAGCCTTTCCCTGCGGCTCGCTAGTCCTCAGCCCCAAAACCCGGACTGGAGTCGACTGCCTCTGAAATGCTAAACGGCGGCAGTTTCGCCTGCCCGCCGCCGCTCTAGTTAACCCGCGTAGGTTCAGGGACTGCTGGGCTGGGAGCGCCGGCTACGGCCTTCCTCGCCTCTCGAGTGCCCTGAGGCGCCCAAGCAACAAGTGGTGACAACAATACAACGTGCTGTGGAATAAGAGGCGCGGATTACAAAGGCAGGTTTGGGCTGAGGCGGGAGAGGTCTTCCGTAATTGCGGAGAAAGCCACTTGCGGGCACCGTTCATATTAGGGTAGGGATGAGAGTTTCTAGGACAGATTGGTGGAGACCAGGCAGGCATCGCACTGATCGAGTAACGACTTCTTAGGTTCTTCTTTTAGCGCTATTTAAGACACGCCAAGACATTCCGATGCCTTGCAGCCTTGTTCCCATTAAACTTTTTTTGGTTTTGGCGCGCTGGAGGGAATGGTGGTGCCTTCGAGTCAGTGTTGACTTCTGGCAACTTCCTGCAGAAGTCCCTGCAGCTTTCTTGGCAGCATTTCAGAAGTGATTTGCCATTGCCGGCTTCCTAAAATTGAGGAGTGATTGGCCTTAGGTAAACAGCTGGCTTTGTACCTGAAGCAGGACAGTCTGTTTCTAATGTGATGCCTTAACCATTCTTAATGGGCTGAAATCAGTGCCTGTATTGCTTAGGGCTAGTGTCTTTTGTTTTTTAATTTGATACTTGACCTTTTGACTCATTTCAATATCATATGTGCCTCTGGTGACACTCTTCCCCTATGTATAAAAATGATTATATTAGTCAGTTGAATAAAATAATAATTTATCCTATTGCCCAACCATCAAATATGAAACATTTGCAATAGAATAATCACGACTCTGACGTTCTTCCCCAAAGAAAAGTGCTTAGCAATTGAAGCCACACAACAAACAACACAATAAACTCTACCGAACAACACAATAAACTCTACCTTTCAGACTTATATCATTACGATAAAGGAATTTTCACCTCTTTTGTCGTCGTGGTAAATGGGATGGAGAATCCTTCATTTGTTTTTAAATCTCAAGAAGAAAATGTGAAAAAACAGTTTCCCATTGCTATACAATCCTACATACATCATGCCTATGTATTCATTTTGAAGTGTTGCTTTGTTAAGTATTTTTATATCAAAGCCAAATTTATCCTGATACAAGTGAGTGTGCAAGCCTGTGCTCTGTTGCCACTTTTATCCCAAATATTTGTCAAATAGACAATGACCATGTGCTATATTTTATACTAGTAGAATCTTGTAGAATCTATATTTTATACCAGTATAAAAGTTTAAAAGTTCGCAGGTAGGAAAAGCTGTTATACCTATTATAACATGGTCATAGTTGTAGAATTGACTATAGAATCCAAACCATTTTAAAAGTCATTCTAGAGCGCCTATAATAGAGGATTTCCTGGAGGCAAGCTACATTGACATCCTTAAAAATCTCAGTCCTTTAAAACAACCTCAAAAGTCACTCCTGAATTGTGCTTTTAGACCCAATGTTCTGTTTTTGTGATAATTAAAGATAGGGATGATAATAGTTGCTTACCATCCCTAAGCCACTTCAGAGAGGTGAAACATGAAGTGTGTTTTGCCACATTTGCCTCACATCACATTAGCCCTTAAATGTTCCACATCTCATTCCAGTATAGGGTTAGGTTAGGTTAGGTTTCTCTCATATATTCATACACGCATGCAAATACATTGTACATGTATCAAAGAACTTCTTACACTTGTTTGGATGCTTATCAATGAACTGTTTTCTTCAAACTCAAACAAGAATAGATTCTTCCTTATGTTTAAAACCATAATACTGTCATTCATCTGTCATATTTAGGAAATGCACCAAATGAACAGCATTCCTACTATTAATATTAATATTAATATTGGCAGAGTCAAAAAAATTCTTCAAATCAGGGTACAGGTAAACCTGAGAGCAAAATTGAATTACCTTTCAATAAACAGGCCACTAGTTGAGATACCATGTGCTGCATCCATGGATACATTTTATGACCCTTCATACACCTTTCATAGGAGACTTCCATGAAAGCAATGCTCATATACCTCAAAGACACAGTAGTTACAAATATAAATCAGTTTCCTAGACACTGGCCAGACTTCCAACTACCATTATTTTAGTCAACATGACCATATAGACTTGATGATAGACATTGGATTATGACACATCTGGAGATATCAGGTTCAGGACATAATGGTACAGCATTAGTTAGCTGTAATATGCTAAAGGCAAAGCTGTGGGAATATTTTCCAATTTCTGAGAACCCTGACTTTTTAATTTGTATATGGGCAGACAAGAAGTAATCAATATCTTGATAGTTGTCAGAATAATATAAATATTTCTGTGACATGCAGGCTGCAATTGATGCAATATGTTCCAAAATAATATTCTGATAGACAATTATTGGCTTTTTCATGAGGTAATTCATGTTCAGCAAAAAATTATATGAACATGAGAATTGACATTTTTGTCTTTAAAAAATCTCTTTCATAATTTCCTGTGCACTTCCATGGCATATCAGTCAGATTCAGGATTTCATTCAAATGAGACTTTATTTCAATTGACAAAACTATTTCACTATGTTGTAGCTCCTTAAAGAGAGAAATTGGATTGTTCGATATTTGAAAAAAATTAATCCTAATTCCTGCTATGAATCCATTACGGCTTTTCAGTTGGACCGTTCCTCCTACCGGCAGAATGCAGACTGTAAACATGTGTGGCTCTGTGAAAAAGCCAGCTTCTCATTGGTGTAACTTCTCCAGGCCTCCACTAAGCCACACATCTGAGCTGTCAGTTACTTTTATAGAGTGCACTAGTTTTTGGCGCCACATCTGGGACTGAGGTTACAATAACAAGATCCCGAACAGCAGTGCCTAGAAGACGAAAGGCATAAACGCTGAGACTGTTGAATGTTGGCAGCCAGGGAGTTTTCAGAGAAAATGTTCAAAATAATGCAACATGTTTGTAGCCTCCGCCATAAAACCCTATATGATGATTTACATGATTTCTTTAAAGTATAAATAAAATTAAAGTGATAAAAATAGAATGATCACCAGACTAAGAATTACACTCAGCATGCATCAGTGCTTAGAAATAAACTCCATTGTGGCCAATGGAGTTCTTTCCTATTATGTGTACTTAGGGATTGCAGACTTAGAAGATCAGTGTTACTGGAACAGCTAAGAAATACATTTATGTATTACATTTTTATATTACTGGATTTACAGTCAATTCCTTGCAGTTTTCATTTTAAAAAGTCGGTATTAATAATAAACATGTTAACTGTAAATTGTCTATGGTAAACATCAATATATTATTATAATATATAGATAATGCTTTCATCTATGACATAGCAAATGTTATCCATTAGTTAAACTCTAAATGTCCTCCTGAAAAATGTTGTCTTAACATCCCTCATGAAATGAAGGAACCACAAACCGTTTTTCCTAGGATGATTTTATTGGGAGATGAGTTGTTCTGCTTAAAAGAGGCAGTCCTGGGCCCTCAGTCATACAAGACTTTATAGCTCAAAACCAACATTAGGAATTGCAGTTGAAAGCCCAGCATAGTGTACTCACGGTGATGAATGCCAAATAATAAAAACACAAGGCACTACATCACCTGAAGCTTCTGCTTAGTCTTCAAAGGCAGCACCATGTAGAGCACATTGTAGTAGACTTGGTAGTCGTGAATTGATGAGTCACTATTGCAACCTGTATCCTCCAGTTTAGGGCCATAATTGGTGTATCTATTGAACATGGGCAAAGCCTGTGTGTCCAAGTGTTAATTCAGCAGTAGCTGTAAACCCAGGTAGACTTTCAGACCTACTTCTATAGGTTTAGTGCCCTGTCTTTTTGAAAGATACTCTCAGGTTAGACCATGAGAAACAGCAACGTCATCTCTTTGGGTTCAACTTTAGCATATTTCATCCCATCTAGATCTCAATAGGACAACTTGAGTGTATTCTTAGTTGACTTCTTTCAGTGGTTTCATGTAAATGTTAAAAGTCAGACAATGGTTCACCAAAACCTATGGCGTGCTAGATTAAACCAGCCATTCTAATTGCACAAACACTTTTTCTGTGCTACCACTAACTGGAACCAGCCACTAAGGAATGAGCAGAACTACTACAGAAGAATTCCTCTAATTCCCAATTTATACAAATGATCCAGAAAATTATCATGGTTGATGGTGTTGAATGCTAATGAAAGTTTTAATAGGATCAGAATTATTATTATTATTATTATTATTTATTGAATTTCTATACCGCCCTACTCCCGAAGGACTCAGGGCGGTGTACAGCCATGAAATAAAACACATAAATATACAAAATTTAAAATCGAATAAAATGAATTAAATAAATTTGGCTGAATTAATACCCATAATTTAAAATACCCATAATTTTAAAATACATTAAAAATTTAAAATTTACACTTAAAAGGGAGAAGATTTAGGCGAGGCCCGCTTGATGAAATAAAAGCGTCTTCAACTCGCGGCGGAAGGTGCGCAGATCCGGGATCCTCCGTATCTCTGGGGGGAGCTCATTCCAGATCGTCGGTGCCCCCACAGAGAAGGCTCTCCCCCTAGGGGCCGACAGCCGACATTGTTTGGCCGACGGCACCTGGAGGAGCCCCTCTCTGTGGGAGCGTACTGGTCGGTGGGAGGCTGTTGGTGGTAGTAGGCGGTCCCATAGATAACCAGGTCCTAAGCCATGGAGTGCTTTAAAGGTGGTAACCAGAACCTTGAAGCGCACCCGGAAGACCACCGGGAGCCAGTGCAGCTCGCGCAGGAGAGGTGTTACATGGGAGCTCCATGTTGCTCCCATAACCACCCGCGCGGCCGCACTCTGCGCCAGTTGGAGCCTCCGGGTGCACCTCAAGGGGAGCCCCATGTAGAGAGCATTACAATAGTCCAGACGAGAGGTGATGAGGGCAT